GTTCATACTTCATTTAATGTGTGTCCAAATAAATAGAAAGAAATGTTAGAAAAACGTAATTGAAATATTTTTAAAGAGATATCTTAAACGCCACACTCCGGTGTTTGAGTTCGTTTCCGAGATGGCGATGGTAAAGGAAATAAAATATGCTCGCTTTCAAAAAAAGAAGTACGTCCAAATGACGCACTCGCAAATGTTGAAGTATCTGATGTTAAAATGGCTGCCATTTATTTAATCACAAACGTTGGGAACTCGCGAATAGCGAATTTGCCTAGTAAATCCACACGTTGCTACATCGCTACTAGTCGTGCGCGCATTATCCCAGATTATACTGAAATGTTTTTTAAATTTTCTTTTTAGAAGTTGGTAAGGGTTGTTACTAGATCTTTAATAACTAGTAAAAATATTTTTAACTCGATTACGTATTCGGTTTGAAAAATATTCGGCATACTATAAATAGATCAGTAGGATAATATACTACTGTAGGGTTCATTTAATTAGTATATCGAAAACACCAGATATATTGCATGGATTGACTAGGATTCTCTCTCTGAGATGGAGTACTGAGATACCGCATTTCAGTTCTTCTGTATTTTCCTAAGAGAGCTGTTGATCTCTGCATCTGACGGACAAACGGTCAAGATTTCTACCATTTATTCTGTGGAGAAGACATGTATTTTGCTCATTCAAATCAAAACAATGCATGCTTCAGATGATACTATCACTTGTTCCTTCTGACTGATACACTGTATAATCATTCATTCTGATCTGCGCGATCCACATCACTGATAATGTTATAATTTGAATTAATATTTGGTTGAGTCATCTGATTTCTCACCTAAGTTTCATTCTATCATTATTTTTTTGAAAATAGTACAACGCGTAATTAATAATTGTATTGTATAGGCGACAATGTTAAATTTCGAGAGTAAGAGAAAAAAACCGAAGATTTCGGGAGGATTTGGGGCATTTGACGTTTGGAATTTCTTTTCGACGTGGTCATAAGATGCATCATGTCAATGAATTTTAAACGCAGAGAAAAATGTCGTGCAGTCCAAATTATGTACGCAGTTTCATTGTAACTTCGACCCCTACCAAACGTGATGGACGTTCTCTTTGAACTGTTTATTTCCATGCCATTTGTTAGATTTAGATTTATTCAGTCAAAAATCAGTAAAAACCGTATGAGACGTAGGGGGGGATATTATCTGCGCATGTTTTTGCGAGGTCCAGAATCCCTTCCCGTGTTTTCAACTATAAATAGTTGAAAGATGAGTAAAAGTTTAACATAAATAAATAAAAATACATTTTAAAAATAAATTAAAAAAAAATCCCGCCTAGATATGTAGTTTGTCTAGTTCTCATTTCAAAATATCCTCTTCCTTCTTCTGAGTTGATAATCTGATCAATTACAAGTCATCTGCAGAGTCGTACATTTAAAGCTAAATTTTTCAGCAATTTATTCACGAAGGCAAGAAACATGGGTGGTCCGATAAAACTGCCTGGTGAAATTCCTGATGTGACGTTTCTCAAGGTTGACATTATGTATCCTGTCATGAAGTAGTCCGTTTATCCATGCTACTACTCTAGTGTCTATACTCGGTCTATGAATTTGTTTCTAAGACAATCGTGAGGAACATCAAAAGACAAAATCTCTTACTATCGCGTCAAAATTTTCACATTCATAAACTACGTAAGCTAGGTCCTGTACAAGTGATACAAGCTGACTTTCGCACGAGAAACCATTCCTAAAATCGTGCTGACCCTGATATAGCCACTCCCTTCGTCCTATTCTTTCCTGATGTAACTAGAAATTAGATGTTCCTTAGGTTTGTATTCGAGTGATTTATGGCTTACTGATCTATATTGACTAAGCATTGTCTTTTCGACACTTTTAAAACCAAGCACTGCGAGAGCCAGATTCCAATCATCCGGTACGCAAGCGTTGTTGATAGATAGTTTTAGATTTATTTAGTAAAAAAAGACTACAGAAAACTATGTGACGTATGTAATCATCTGCTAACGTTTTCTTGAGTTCCAAAATATGTCCCCATCATTTTTCCAATAAATAGTTGAAGGATGAGTAAAAGGTAAAGATAAATAAATAAAAATAAAATAAAAAAGCAGAGTAGCAACATTTGAAAAAATTAGACATTTTTCCAGAGTTATAGAAAACTTATTTGCAACGTTAAACGAACTGCAGGTTTAATTTTTCAGCGTTGCTAACAAAATAGTTATTCGCCCTTATCTCTACTCCTACCACTACAAGCAAAAGCAGAGTTCAACAAAACGTGCTCATAGTGAAGCTACATCAACATCCAGAACAAGGAGCCATCTCAGCGTTTGTTCAATGCATCAGGGTATACAAAACAAAACCTGATCGAGATGAGGGTCATTGACCCGGAAGTTGAAGTACATTATTTGTTACAAGTTTAGTAGTAGTATTAAGTTTCTTTAAAAAATATACAATACAAATGTACCCTAATTCATTATATATCACTGTTTCGTTAAAAAAGCATTATTTTTCTTTTTGAGTTTCAGTATAGCCTCTAATTGTATAGAAACTGTTTTGCAGCTGAAACGATTTTACTTCAATTTGTGTACCGACTTCAATTGTTTAATGTCATCTGGCAATGAGTTGTGAAGTAACGTATATGTATTGTGTGTAGATTTCTGGTAGTGAGTTGTTGGTACTGATATGTGATGAATGTGATTTCTACGACGTGTTGTAATCATAAATATCTGTATTGAATGAAAATATGTTCCCACCGTTATGTAAGTCAGTTTTACTAAATATTGTATATTTGTAAATAAATAGGCAAGACAATGGTAGGAATCAAAGGTCAATGAAAAGAGTATTGCAGAGATCACGCGGTTAGCATTTTTTCATTATTCGAATAATTTTCTATTGCAATGTAAAGATCTGGCTACTGCATGATGAGCTTTCCCAGAACATTGTGCCGTATCTCAGGCGGGTTTGCTCATTGGCAAAATACACTCAACGAACTGCATTGCTTTGAAAGAATTCTGAATGCGGAACATAATGAACTTTATTTAATGTTTAATTCTGTTGTATGTACATTCCCTTTGAGGTTTGACTGAATTGAGAGACCTGGAAATGTTGCTACCTTAACATCAGCTAATTGCATATTGTTCATGTTCAATGAAGCATGCGATTTCTGATTTGAATGCAAAAATGCACTGAAACTGTTTTTCCTTCGTTAACTATTAATTTGTTATTACAATTCCAATTTGAAACTTCTAAAATCGTACTATTTATTGTTTCTTTTTGCATAGAACATTTGTGTCATCGGCAAATAGAATCTTTCTTACGTTTTTAATAGACGAGGGCATATCGTGTACGTAAAACAGAAAGAGGATAGGAAGTATGACAGAGAGTTGCGGGACCTCATATTCAATTGGTAAAAAATTGGAAAGATAAGTAAATTACGCCTTTTCGTGCCAGTACGGTGTTTGTACTCCTTGAAATCGATGTTTAACGTATGGGGGTATACAATCTAGGGCGACACCACGAATTCCATAAGAAGGTAATTTTGATAGCAAGATGGTATTGTCATTAACGTCAAGAACTTTCGAAAGATCATAAAATATTCCAATAGGTGCTTCATTTTGGTCCATTGATGAAGAAACATCTTTAAAAAAGGAAAAAAATGGCATTTTCCGTAGATTTTGGTTTTCTAAACCCGTGAGTCTAAAAACGCTCCGTTTTTTCTGAGAAATGTTTCCATTCGCATATAGAAATGCCTTTTAATATTTGAGAAACCTAACAAAATCAAAATTGGTCGGTTATTTTCAATTTCATTTTTGCTCCCTTTTTTTAAAACAAGTGTTTTAAATTTTGCTGTTTTGAAAGTATCTGCAAATGATCCTTTACATAAAGAAGCAGTGAAAATGTAAGTTAACGGGAGTATAGAAGCTAGTACACAAGTTTTCAATGAAAAATCCGGTAATTGATCTAAACCGCATTAATATTTTCTTTAGTTCACTGACCTTTCTCAGGAACTTGTTAGAAGAAGTTTTGGAAATAAAAATCGTGTCGAAACTTCTGTGGAAAGGTAAGGATAATGAATTTAGTGGTTTTAGTCCAGCCGTATTTCTAGAAACATGTTTGTTGATGAGATTTGCCACTTTTTCCGGATTACTGGCTTCTATTTCATTATCCTTTAAAGAACATTCTCTACTATGAACCGGGATGATGTGCACGTATTATTTACGATAAAGATACATTTATTTGAACTGCAAATGGGCATAACCCGGTGGCAGCTAATTACATAAATAAAATACTACAGCTAACATGCAAATTATATATTGTAATTATAATAATAATATAATACTGTAATAATATTATAATAATAATGTAATCATAAAATAATAAATAATAATGTTAATAAAAATAACACCAATAATAAAAACAATAATGATATAACATATTCTAGTCTAATTCATAAAACATTTAAAATTACCTTAAAAAAAGAAACATAATCAAACTCCGCACTGAATATTTGTTCAACTTCCCTTCGCTTCCCTTCGCTTCCCTTCGCTTCCCTTCGCTTCCCTTCGCTTCCCTTCGCTTCCCTTCGCTCCTTCACTTCACTTCGCTCCTTCACTTCACTTCACTTTTGACTATGACCCTTTAATCACTTCTTACGTTTTCCTGTTCTACACTTCAGGACACCTCACTTCATAATATATTACTGACGCGTCGCTCTATGATCTACTATTGTCAGCTAATTCCCTCATTTATGTAGTAATACCCTAAAGTAACTTCCTAAATTGTTGTACACTACGAGGAAAGGGTTCAAAGGTTTTTGCAGGCAATGTATTTCATTCTTTTATTGTTCGATTTGTAAATGAAAATTTCCCCACATCTGTTCTTTGCGGTCTTAAATTTATTTTGTGCCTGTGATACTGATGTATCTAGGAATACTTAGCCGCTGATTAATTTCTTTCCAAGCTGGTTGACCGCAATAAGCTTTATACAAAGCGCTGATAGCCTATTTTCGAGAGAATCCCATTTTGCCAATTTCTTGTCCCTGAAAGTAAATTTAGCTGCCCTACGCTGAATTCTTTCCACATTTTTACACTGTAAAATTTTGTGCGGATCCCAACAAATTGTTCCATATTCCATTATTGGTCAAACGAGCGATAAATAGGTAATTTCCTTCGCGTTTGCCGTACTCTTGTTTTAAGATGCGCATTACAAAGTGGAGAGATCTCCAGGCTTTCCCTAAAACAAAATCTACGTGACTTTTCCAGCTTAATTTACAATCGAAATGGATTCCTAGGTACATGCAGGAGGAAACTGTCGGAATAATATCTTCATTTAAACAGTAATTCGTTTCTCTGTAATTATGCCCCCTGACAAAAGTGATGGATTTGCTTTTGGAGCTATTTATGGTCATTCCATTATTTTCCTCCCAGCAATGTAATGCATCAAGATCCCGTTGCAACATTTCTTCGTCGTCTTTCAAATTTACACTACGATATATTATGCAATCGTCTGCAAATAGCCGAACATTTGATAATGATTAATTGCGCTGGCAGATCATTGACGAACGCTAGAAATAGAAAAGGTCCAATGACACTCCCCTTTGGTATTCCTGACGTAGCGCTTGCTCCGGTAGAAAACTCATGGACAATTCGGACTTTCTGTTTTCTGTCTTGCAGAAACTCGCTAATCTACGCCATCACATCGTGGGGAACGACATCAAACGCTTTGGCAAAATCTATAACTATTGCGTCTACTCTCCCGCCCGCGTCAATTTCATCTGCTGGATCCCGAATTAGCGTGGCTACCTAACTTTCACATGAATAACCACTCCTGAAGCCGTGTTGGCCATCATAGAGCCATTTTTTGATTACCTATTCTTGCTTAATGTAACTGGCAATTAAATACTCCATAAGTTTGCAGAACACTGACGAAAGACTTACCGATCTATAATTACTTAATATAGTTTTGTCACCACTTGTAAAAATGTTCCACATTGCTTTACGTTTGTTACTAGCGTTCAAAATATCCTGATAATTTCTCTTTATTTTTGCCTGAACTATTGCTTTTCTTAATATTATTTTGTATTCTCGGTAGTAGACATGAAAACCGGGTGTTACGGTATGATGGTTAGAAATAAAGTAATGCGTACGTTTATTTTTACACGATATTCTAATAGCTAGTGTGATCTAAGTATTATTTTTCCGTGAAATGTTAAATTTTATCTTTTTAAGAGGAAAGTATGAAAGGTTAAAATGAAAGGAAAGCTTTGAGAAAAATATATTATATTTTTAATTTGTGTCAACAGCGTTATAAACTGTGTCCTAAGATAATTTCAGCAAGTAATCCTTAAATAATGTTATGTTAAATTTAGTGAAAGCCCTGCTCACGATTGTATTATTTATTGTGCTGGTGATCATGTTATCTGTAATTGTAAGAATTTGTGCTTCATGGTCACTGTAGCCTAGATTAGTAATTTTTATTTCATATCTAGTTGTGGTTTAATTAATTATAATTTGATTTATTGTTTTTTGTGATTTAAATGTATTCCGTGTAGGTACATTCACTGTAATACATAAATTAAAATAATGCAGTAAATTGAGAAACTGCTCTTTTTTGTGGGATTCGCTTAGAAAATCAATATTGAAATCTCTACATATAACAATGAATTTAATAGTTACAAATTTTGTTCGTTATCTCTCGATTTTGTATGAAAATGAAATGATCTAATGCTTGCTTTGTTGGAGGTCTGTAGATGGGTAGTAGTAACATAGTTTTGAGCGTAGTTAAGATGTACGGCTGTTATTTCAAAAACCTTTTCAATTGCATTTAAATTGAATTCTTACTAGAAGATAGAATCAGTATCATTTCTTATGTTAATACACGAACCTCCATAAGCAGAGCACTTATTTGATTCCCTCGCTCTACGATACGATCCTGCAAGGTAAAAGCTAGGAATTTGGAGTGTGTTTAGATCATCATGAGATAAAATTATTCTTCTATAAAGCAAAAAAGAAAACATCTATTTGACCTAGATGACACTGTAGTGCTGCCTTCCATCATACATTAAATAACCTAATGAAATATGGTAAAATAGCCTCTCCACCTAATTTAATGAAATCCATGGAAATAGAATCTGGGCCTCGTGTTAACCCTCTCTTCAATAATTTTACTCTTTGCCGAAAAAAGGTATTTACATTTGGCATTGGCCTGAAAAGGTCAGAGGAATAACTGATTAGAGCAATCAGCCCACGAACTCAATTATTTTGAATCCCATAACTCTCTGATGTCAAATATCATCAATTAAATTTCACCGTGAGAGGTGGCTCAGGGCATCTCTGATCGGCACGTCCCAGGATCGAGTTCTGATGGTGCACCGGTGCCACCACGGTGGCAGGATTTTCTACACTAGCTAGGTAGCTACAACGAGTTCAGTCGCTGTCTGGAGGACTATTCTAGTGACCGGCTATTCTCAACGGCAGTTTTCCATGGTTTCTGCAATCAATACCAGGCGAATGTCGGAGCAGTACCCTATCAAACCGATCACGAACCGCACGCGGGCTTTGCTTCCTCTTCCTTGCCCTAGTTTCCTTTCTCACACTCCACACTCCACACACACACACATACTTACTTGCATTACACTACCACACATGCCTGAAGGCCGGTGGGGAGCATATGGCTTGCCTCGATTAGGACGGTGCGCCGCTGGTGGGAGATAACTTGTTAGAAAAATCGCGCTAGCCTATGGGAGGATCTCCCCATTCAGCAGGAGAAGATCACTCTCATCTTTTGCAAAAAAATGTGTATAATGACTAATTAGCAGTTGACGCTCCCGGAATCGCTATTCAATCAATCAATTAAATTTCTGTGAACTTGCTGGGATTCAACCCCTGATCTCAGGCTCTTGAACCGTAAAGGAAGGCTGTTATGTTCGCTACTACCGGTGTTGGTGCTTTTAATCCTAACAATTCTTGCAATTTAATAACTTTTGAATTGTGATGTGTTGTTTACCAGCATTTGCTAGCTCATATGAAATGCATTTGCATGCAAGATAGTGCGTGTAAAAGCATTAAGAATTCAATATGTGCATGTATGCAATATGTGCAATATGCAATAATGCAGGCATGCATTACATATTTATGCCCATTTTTGTTGCAACACCCAACTTTCATGATTTGACTTTCAACATTTTGCAATCAGACGCATATAATAAAACCAAACAATTCAAAGTAAAAAAACCCTAGTACCTTTGGAAAAGATTGAAACTTCATTTCTCAAATATTTCATTTTACTGAAGATATTGATTGTAAGAGTGGAAAGGACGAAGATCGAGAGAATTGGCTAAAATTCTTTCACTGTTTCTCAGCACTAAATATTCAAAACGAAGGAGTGCAAACGGGAAAGGTATAAATGAAATTTTATAAATTCTGAGAAATTCGTTTAAGTCAATATAACTGTAAAGTCGTGGTGTTTTCTTCCATCATTAAAACCATAGCAATTCAATTGTTCATTAACACTACGATAATACATTGCCACTAAAGTATAGCCTAAAATAAACACGTTTTTCTCAGAATTTATAAAATGTCACTTGTACCGTTCTGGTTTTCATCCATTCAAATGGTAGTCAAACGATTAAACCAAGAATGCCTACTCTTCAGGAATATGGAGTTATCTTTTAAATTTATGAATGTATATTCCCTTCAGGTTAATGAGACCTTGGCCTAATTCATATGTCTTCACGAAGGCCATTGCAGAGGACGTGGTGTTGCGAGAAAGCAAAGGTCTTCCTGTGTGTGTGATTAGACCATCTATGGGTAAGTAGTTTAATTGAATTATTTTATTGAAAACATAATAATTAATGTGATTGCAACCATACCAGATTCTGATCAGGTCATCTAATACTTCTCATCTAGCCTAGCCTTCAACACCAATATTAAGTATTGATAAATGTTTTCAAATACTGGACTAACACGATTAGAACTTTTTTTATAACAAATATGTTCCTACGGAAGCAAATCATAGTACTGGCTAAAAAGAAATCCGTGGGAAAAATCCTGAGGAAATTCTAGGGTGGAAAGGGCAAGCCATGATTCCGTTCCTTGCTAGTATTCTCAAAGTTACTATTAATGATGGTAATGTCCCAAACGTCTGAAAAGGCTACAATGGTTACTAACTACAATGGTTACTAGCTACAAGCTACAATGAATCCTTTATAATTATAAATAATTATAGATAAATTGGCTTAACATCGGTATGTAACATCGGTATGTAAACTGTTAGAACAGCGTTTGCCAACGCTGCAAAGGGGAAGGGCGAGAGGAGGAGACGGCGATAACGAAAACCAGTAGGCCTTTGCCGGTATTTCAAGAGAACATGAGTGGATGACCATCTACACCCGTTAATTTTCTTTCGTTTTTTTGGGAAGAAAGGTTTCCTTTTGTAGATACTGTAACAATGACAGAGTGTGTAGTGTATTCGAAAGAACTGTGGTATGATAAAAGAGTTCAACCGACAGAGGCATTACGCAGCTTTGCAACTCCGAGAAACCCGCGAGATGAAAATAATTTCTGAGAATTTACAGATAGCCTGCAATCATGAAATGAGAAAAGGATATTGCAGTTAAAATATTATATAAAAGTAATTGAAAATCACGAGTATTTACAACAATCTCCAACAAAACTGTACTATATAAATGATCAAACTTGGAGTCAAATTCGTACTCCCACGTGACCCCTTCCGGGTATCTATTTGTACCTGTTTGTTAACATTATCTACACAGGCACACAAAATGAAATAATTTTCAGATCCAAAGAGTTGACACATGCTTTTCTACGTATGTTGACGCGCTTAATCCTATTCTCAAGCCAGAATTGCGCGAATTATTTTAATACCAGTGAAGGAAGCAGGTCAGAATAAATGACTGCAAATGAATACGGTAAAAGGAAATATTGATTATTGAAAGTTACAAACTAGTGTAGCTGCCAAAGCACATAATTTCTCGCAATGTTCTAAACGCTTTAAAATTTCAAAATACGAAAACGATATAAGAATTAGAATTATTTAGAATCTTAATAGATTGTATATATGAGTAGAATTGCTTCAAATACTTTTCAGTAAATTTTCTAAAATTATCAAAAGTTTTCTGCGACAACACAGAGTTGTGACAAATAATTATCCCCAAATCAGGCTCGAACCAGCGGCCCTTCCTCCTTAACGCTTTTGAATTGAATTGAATTGAATTGAATTTGCCTTATTTTACGTGGCGAGACTCGGGCCATCAGGCCCGCTCTTCCGTCTGACCACGCAAATTTCGCTACGCTCCTTTCACCAACTAGGAGAGAAAGGAGGTATTTCTTGGGCGAGAAACAGGCGATTTGAATTTAGCTCAGAGGCGTCATTTAGGCTTGAGGATCTTTTACATGCAAGTAAATCTACGAACATGGGACAGCCGGCTTTACTTCCCCTCCGAAGGAAGGCGTACGAAGGATTTTTTCGCCCTTAAAAATCCACGGCTTCGATCGGGTTTGAACCCGCCAACTTGGGTACAACAGTCCAGTACGCTAACCGTTACACCATCGCCGCCGGCGCTTAGTTCGAACCCGACATTTAATCACTTCGCCTACCCGGGTTATGCAGATAATTAGCATTTATATGATAGTTATAAGCACCGTAAAACAAAAAAAAATGATTTGATAGTTCATACATTTTACAAATCCAATAATAGTGTGAAAAATTGTTTACAATTTGAAAATCACATACAGACACTTTCAATTTATTTATCTTGATTAAGATTATTTGCAATTAGAATTGCTTCAAATGGTTTTCAATAAAGTTTATGTAATTGTCAATTATTTCCTGCGATAACACTGAATAACAAATAATAGTTCCCGACGAAGAATCGAACCAGCGAGCCTGCCCTCCGAAGAGCTCAGGCTTTACAGTCAGCTGCATGACCTTTTTTAAAGTCCTAATTTTGTACAACAGTCTTTGTCTAATCCAAAAATATCTGTCTTAAATTTTATTGTTTTTTTTGTTTGCATTTTCCGAACTATCGGGGACCTGTACCATCTTTAAAACGTTTTTTGCACTATTGAACAACAGAATTTAATTAAAACAATTGGAGCCAGTTTTTTGAAAATGTTAAAAATGTCCGAGGAGCTTCAGCAAAGTGTACCTCAAAATTAAAATATCTGTTTCAAATGCCAGAAATCGCGACATCAGCAAGATCGACTGGGGAATACCATGTTTGGAGAAAATGGGCTAAACAGTTTAGCCGCTAGGGTTGACCAGAGACCGAACCACAGACAGACAGGACAGACAGGCGTTTTGCCGTCAATAGATTTTTCGGTATTAAGAACCACCAAAACATGAATTCAGGCTACACCACAGGATTTTTTCAAAATTTAGTTACAGGTGTTACCAGAACCCGGCAATAATGTTCCGACGAAATTTCGTCGTTTTCTGGCGCACGATTACATAACTTTATCGTTTTACAAATAATTTGCAAGGCAAGAAAGTAAAAACAAAAAATGAAGGTGAAATATTTTTTACGAACTGTGATTTTGCCAGACGCGATTCAGGTAAGGCAGGCGACGTACGTAGCCGTACATTTATGACGTTTCGAAGACCACGGACGAGTCTCCCGTCGGCAGATTTTCGTGCAGTCGACTATCAGCTTTTCATTATTTCAAATTCGTTTTACCCTCAGAAAGTGTTGAAATTTGTACTTAATTTTAACACGTGTATTTGCTAATGACATTTTAATTTCTTTTTAATATTTTGTTGATGACCGAGCGATAAGTTTCAGAAAATTGTGTACGCTATTAAAAATAAGATATATTGACCACCTTTTTGCGCTTTTGCCCTTTTTAATCTTATTTGCATACGACATTCTAGCTGCGCAAAGTGTGTTTTTAATTTTTTGTCGCAATATGGGAATGCAACTATTTCTTTGGAGTCAATTTCCTTGTAAATCAATTGAATAGTGTTTCAAAACAAATTAAATGTGATGTAAAATTTAAAAAAAGTTTTGTTTATAATTTTTTTAAACTTTGTATTATTCAAAAAAGAGATATTTTGCAACAGATACTTTCATCATACTGTAATTGTTGCTTTCTTTATAGGCTTTTTGCCATTCTTACTTCTTTATGTCTGTGAATTATAAATTTACTGTTCAATCCATTGTTCTAATTAATGTGTATATGTATTCGTAATCCTAAATTAAAACCATTAATACGAAATATATTTCTTACAGTTGTTGGTACTAGCCAAGAGCCGGTACCAGGATGGATCAACAACATCAATGGACCTGCAGGTGTAATGATTGGTTCCGGTTTGGGGCTTTTGCGTACCCTTCATTTAGACACCGAAATTTCCGATTTGATTCCGGCTGACCTAGTGACCAACACTATTTGTGCCGCTGCCTGGAGGACTGCAAATAGCAGGCGAGTTCTCGCAATTTTTCCGCTTGATCAATTGTGTTTATATTGTTATTTGCATTGCATAAACTCTCTTTTATTCAAAGAAGTATAATTTAGAGCTTAAAACATTATCTCACAGTGTAAAGTATTTGACTCATTTATCTAGACATTGACATATTTTATAACTACAACGTTAGTCACTAGCGAGAATATGTGATATTGCCATTGAATAAGTATCCATGACCCCAGCTACGGAAGTTTACTGCCTTCACTGAGAAACACTTTGAAAAGTAATGATTCAGAGTCGAGCAATGCTCCAGTGACTATGTGACTAAGGCCGGGAGAAAAAGTGGATTTTATTATAAGCAAATGAGGAACTAACGTGAAGCATTCGCTCGCTAGGAAGTTAATTATTATTTCAAAGAGATTATATATGGTCTCCCTTGTTTACATTATTACAATGAAAACAAATGACAAACTTCAGTAATAATGTATTTGAACAGAACATGAAACACAAGTGACTTCTTTGCTTCTTCACTGAAATACGCCTGCAAGACGTTCTCACTTATATTTCATATTTATTTATCTTTGCATCAATCTTAAATTTTTTGCATCATACGCTTTTAATTACACAAATGTAATTTTTAAATATATTATAATATACAACAATTGTATCATGCCTACAGTAGGTATATTTCCAACAATTTGTAAATAGTATTGCATTTGTGAATATAAGTGCTTCATATAACTTTCAGTCAAGTTTCTCGAAAACTCAAAATATTTCCGTGAGTGCTTCAAATTTCGCGTTTACAGTAATGCTTAAACGCAATTTTTCTTAAAAAACGGCTCTAAAGTTTTCAATAAAAAATTCCTCATAGAACTAATTTTTACAGTTCAATAATATTATTAAATTAAATATTTCGGTTCTACCATTACGAAACCGAAGAACTGAGTGTCTCAAAAATGAAGTTCGGGCGGCGATAGATGGTCAGAGTATGTGGCAAAAACGAAAAGTTACATCAGACTAAAGAAATTAGAACACTAACTATAAACATAAAGCCTGTGCCATTCTGTAGCATCCCTATTTTTACCTTATTGTATACGTACGTACATACGTAGTAAAGAGAAAGTTATGTAATGCTGCGGAAAAGGGATTTGGAATTTATCGAAAGAAAATCTTCTCCTGAGTGAAAATAATACTTTTAACTTGAAGAAACTGACGAAGTTTGTGTCCAAGTCTAGAACTCCAGATCCTCCCAGCAATTTCCCACGGAACACCGACAGCTTCTCTTTGCGCTCTTGCCATCTGCTCTGAATGGTTCGACAAGCGAATTTTGTGTTGCTCTCAAGGCCAGCTCAACAACCCCGTGCCGGCGTGTGCTAGATCTTCGGGAAGCAGAATCTTTTGTCAAAAACTGGTAGCAGCGTATCAAGGAGATGGGAAAACGTGGGTTAAAATCGTGAAATTTAAAAGAAAAACTTAAAAATAATTTGTGAAGTATTCAAAGGAGAGAGAAAGAAAAAAATCTATGGCAGATTTCGGTTTTGCTGCAAGTACGTTTTCAACGATTTTTGAAGACAAAAGCCAAATTCGTCGGGGAGGAACCCCGTTTTTAACTTCAATGAAAAATAATATGTTCATATATATATATATATATATATATATATATATATATATATATATATATATCTTCTAACGCTAGCTACCGTAGTTGTCGGCGTCAGATCGAATCGAGCTTTGAAATCTCAAGGGGGCAGGATCTTTTGAGATATGAGAAAGATTTACATCCAGACTCAGAATCATGTAAAACTGCATATATTCTCCAGAATATGACACATATCAGCACTGAACAAAGAATACAAAAACAACAACAAAATATCGAATTGCACGCAAATATGCAACACGAATTCAAATTGCTGTACAGACCCTTCGAACATCTTTTTTTACACAGATCACATTAGTGAATGACCTATTAAATACAATTATTTACAGTTAGTATCCTCGTCAAGATGACACAACTGAGGAACAAATATTAACACAGCTTTTCTCGTAGCATTTAACACTATAATGAACTGTATTATCTGCCTACAAGGTTCTTTCCAATGCTTTGCCTTTATCGAGATCTTACGTGAATATGCAAATTTATAATCACAGCCTTTCTGTTGCGGCACTATCGTTCAAGTCTGCCGGGTCTCAATCCCTTTACAAATGGTTTTGTTACCTTTGCCGGGCACACAATGTGCAGCTTGCAAACCGTTCGGCGTCACCGTCGTGTGATCTTGCTCCAATTTCGGCCACGCCGTTGCCTCGTTCCCGTGCAGACCAGCCATCCGCGATGTCGCTGGAAGCGCCGTCATCTCTCTCCTGCCACCAGATCCACATCCAATCTTCTTTCGTCTAGCCTCTTGGCCGCGCCCGGCACCAGAATCCTCACCTCTTCTTTCTTCGCCGCTCTTCCTATGCGGCACGTTTGCTTACGGCGTATCGGTTTTCTGGCGTTCTTTACAACACTTTTTACTAGTTTAGCTAACTGCACTGTTCTACTGACGCCTCACAACAGCTCATTGTTTTTGTTTCGCGGCCACTATTCCGCGTCGTACTAGTTACTCCACTACTTCGCCTAGTTAATCACAGTTCAGAAGGCTGAATCTTCCACTATCCCATTATTCTTTCACATGAACAATTACGTCGCACCATACTTTCTACAAACTGGCTTCTCACAATCCTCACTGACCTAGCTCTCTACGCACGTCCGAAATCTTCGACATCCCGTACAAAAGAAAACTGCCCTCTCTAATTACTACCGCTCCAGCTGACCGCACTGAACCTTTCACCTCGGTGTCAGGTTTAGAAAGAAGCTCTTACTAGCGCTGTCCCATGACAAGATGTCGACTCCGCCCTACTGGCCTTCGCTCACCGCACTCGGCGTCTCGTACAGAAGAGGGGCCGATCCGTCAGCTGCTTCGCTATTTATGAGTAGCGTGACGAACCCTTCCGCGTTTTCCGTGAGCTAGAAGTTCGCCGCCGTCGCGCTGTAGGCAGCAACTAACAGATAGCGCTGTTTCGTTAGTAGTTTATTCGGCTCACCTGTGCTCCGGTGATCTCTGGTTTCGCCGACGCTGTGTGGTTGTTGTGGGGTTTCCGAGCTTGTCTCAAACGATCATACATATATATGTAAATAAACACTCAATTATCCTATTTCCACTGCATTTTATTTCGCGGTTAATTTTTCTTTATGAACAAATACATACATTTCTTTTGCAAGTAATAAACAATGTACACATTTATGAAGTATATCTATGCTTTTGCAATGCAAATTTTTATCTAGAAAACACATTTTCAAACCAACATTTGAGCGCTTATTGCGGCTCAACCGTTATGTTAGCAATATTTTTGTAAATTACTCTACACCTTACTTTCTCGCTTCTGCTTCCGCAGTATATAACAGGATCAGGGATTTCAACGAAATTGAGGACAGAACCATTCACTTAAGCGTCCTGTACGCTAGCGGAGAGCAATTTGAAGCCATTGTTTTTGAAAATTTTGAAAATGTCCCAGGGGCTTCATTTAAAAGAAATAAAGTTCCGTTTCAAATTCAAGACAAACATCAGTTAGCTCGAATGGAGGAAATAGGCTGACTTACCATTGACCTCAGCCACCATTGCCCATTGCCCATTGCCCACGAATCATTGCCCACGGACGGTCGGACAGGCAAGAGTTTTGAAGCAATCGATTTTTCGGTGTGGAAAACCCCCAAAAAATTGATTATGACCATACAGCGTGGTAGAGAAAGTAATTTATTTTTAAGCATGGGCAAGATTTATCCACTTCTGCCTTATCAGAGCCCGAAGTGTCAAAAATACGCCGGTTTCCGGCACACGATTACAATATTTTTTCTTACGTGCGTAAGGATGAGTCATATCTTATCTTTAAAACAAAGTCATGCACAATTTGAGAAAACGAGTAGTTTTTGCTAATTTCTACTTGAAATTATGCAAAAAAAATTCTAAAAATACCCCAAAATTTCCTTTTTTGATTAATAGAACAATGACTCGGGAAATAATTATACAAGTCTAATTTGCATTGAAATCTCTGTATTTTTTAATGTTGCAGAAGTTAGAAATAATGCGAGAAAGTGCGCGCTGTTATCGTACCCCTTCTTTTAATTTTAATGCACTAATTTATTATTTTATGATTGCAGGAAAGAAAATATATCTGTGATTGAGGAAGGCGAAGAAATACCTGTTTACAATTGCGTGTCGTCTGCAAGAAATCCCATCTCATGGGACAAGGTTTTTGAGATCAGCATGGAAAATGGTTTTCATTATCCAAGTGAACATTGTATATGGTATTTTTGCTTATTCAGAAACAAAAGCTTGTTAATGCATTACATTCTTCGCGTCTTATTACACTTAATTCCGGCAATTATCGTCGACACGTTTCTGAGGATTGCTGGCAAGAAACCCATGTGAGTAAACGAGAATACTATGTGTTGTAGTAATTTGATATCAAGATCTTGATATTTGACACACGGTCTTTACGAAATAATGAAAGACCAAACAACAGAAAATTATCGCAATATAGTTGCGATGTATGTATTTTATACGAATAACCTTAAAATAATTTGGCGTGTATATTTTTTTTATGTTTTACGGGAAATGCTCAATTTTCTGGTTTCCTATTTGTCTCACAATTTTTTCCTTGATGTACAGTATACTCGCGCGTGAACGAATCATATCACAAACTGCATTTCAGTCAATTATAAGTACTTATTGGCAATCAGGGCCTGATACTTAGTAAATCATACATCATTTTATTTCTAGTAATTTTTCAGTGTTGAGCTGTGTGATTTGACAGTGTGTTTTTTGAGAAATATTATCCACACTATGTCACAATTTTACAACAGCAAATTTAACTCTGAGTATTAATTCAAAAATTAATTCTGAAATTTAGTACTACTTTCTTATGTAACGTAGAATTACAATATTGAGGCTTTAGAATACTTTAAATAGCCACATAAACATATTTACAAGTTTTAAAGATTTGTATGAACTATGTTGAATTCTTCAAGTGAGAGTAAGCACAGTACATACAACATATGGCATTCATACTACATATATCATTAGATATCCTTTTGTTCAAGGTTATGGAAAGCGTACGGAAAAATCCACAAATTTCTGGACATTACCGACTACTTTAGATCGCACGAATGGACATTTACGGACACCAATATGCAAAGCTTGTGGAGTGAACTAAAAGAAAGTGATAAGAAGATTTTTCCTTGCAACGCTGCGGATTTGGATTGGGAGGAGAATATAAAAAATTGGATTCCTGGCATGCGGATGTATTTTCTCAAGGATCCCTTGAATACCGTAGAAAAGGCCAAAGTGAAATATAACAGGTAAATATTTTATGCAATATCACTAGATCATTGGAAGTTTCGGATAAATTCGTTGGCACAAAGAGGCTTTACACTGTCGGTAAGCTTAAAATAATCATTCGAACATCAAAGTTACGTTAATTTCCATAAATTATAGAATGTATTCATCGTTCAATTTTATGACGCTGCATACCCTGATATAATTTTGAATAAATCTGAATTTTAAGTTGTTTTAATTCACAGAATGAATAATACTCATCGGGCACTTGATACTCTTAAAGTACTTATTGTTTTCCTTACAGAAAATAAATTACACGACAGTTTCACTGGTAGCACCTACAAACAAAGCAACAGCCCAGCGCCTTTGCTTGTGTTCGTATTGTTGAGCGTTCCACGCGTTTGCCGCACATCCGGAAGTGAAATTTAACCTCAATTTTTCTCGAAGAATATTTTTATTCTCGGATAAACTGCGTCTGCCTTTTTCATGAAATTCAACGTGTAATTCACATTATAGAATAAGTCCCAACTTAATTAAAGACAGTTTGTAAAACAGTTTATTTAAATATATCACATAAGTTTTATTTGTGAAAGTACATTCTCTTTTAAAATCAAATAAAATTCGCCAAATATTGTTTGCCATCTTCAGGTGATCAATGGTGTAAATATGTATAAAAATTACAAAAAATGTGTTTAAACAATTATATAAACAAAAATCAATAGATAAGCACACGCCATAAGTAAATTGGACCCACTGTTATCTTATGAGAACATAAATAAAACTGAGACATCCTAGATATGAAGTATTTTGTGAGAAAGTTGTATAATAATCCAAGAGGAAGTCGTCAAATTGGTGAACAGAGCCAGAACCGTTCTAACAGCATTGGGCCCTTGGGCATGGGGCCTAGGTTAATTTGGGGGGCGGATTCTTTCTTTTACCGGCCCTCCTCCAATTTTGATGCTAAAATATAAAGAAAAATCCATCAATTCAATGGTATTTTGTATTAAAAAATATTTTGAAAGTATGTCGTAGTGATTCAATTTAACATTTTTCAAACAAAAAACTTAAAGATATTAGTAAGAATAATATATTTATAGAGACAGATATAATAAGATTTATAATGACATTGAAAAAGACTAAAAATTAAATAGTTTCAATTTTTATTGAACTGTACAATATATAGTGAAACGCATCATTCTGAAACATTCCATATTATAAATATTATCCAATGATGTGCGGCACATCACTCCGTTATCCCAATTGTTTTTCGTATAGTTTAATCACACCTAACTTTTTTATGTTTTTAATTTTATTTTTTGAAAAATATAGTATTAATCTTTTTAAGCAGTTTGCGGGCCGTGGCACCGGGCCCTTCGGGCTCGTTCGTCAACGCGGCACTGAACAGAGCGCACCTTGGCGTGGACAAGGAGGGTTGTCGGTTAAACTTCGATATTTTTAATGTACGATGGCATTAAGTCATTGTTACACCCCCACCGTTTAAAACGAATGTTTTAAATAATTCGCAAACGTCGTTCTAAACGGGAATCTCAAGCGCTATAAGGCAGGAGAGTAACAATGACCTAATGACATCGGCCACGTTAAAGAAAATTGAAGTGAATTGCATTGGCGGAGGGATGTGTTTAGTGCGACACTCATTCTTTAAATTGTGAAAGGATGATATCATAGATGATTATGAATTTATGGCATTCCAAAAGATGATTAAGTACATTATGAATTTTTATATTCAGGGTTTCCAGAGTCAGTCATAATACTTGTTTTCAGTACTGAGTATTTTGAGATAATCAAAATTTAACGAGTGTGTCGTGTTAAGTTTTTGGTGTGTTATTGAATTTTCTTTAGTTGTAGATTCATTAACGTTACGTAAATAAACTATTTAGTATAATATAATAAACATTATGTTTAGTAAACTATATTAAAGTTGAGACTATTGCTTCAATGCGAATGAACAACAGACAGTTTATACAAATATATTCAATCTAGATTCTTGGAAAACTTTTGTCACGGAAGCTTCCGGTCCTGTATAAAGAAATCTGAACACCTTGAAAGTTCCCAGTGTTTACTGAATTGCTATACTGTTTTGCTTTGAAGAAAATTAAGTAAAAGAAATATGGACATAACAACAATTACAATGTTTAATTAATTTACAAAGAAATGTGGAAACACACATTTGCCCGAAATAACTTCGAACAAAGTAATCCAAGAACTATATTTTGAAATATACTTTGTTCTCTGAATATTCCATTATATGTTTGTTTTCTCAACACATTTTTTTTCTGTTTTAAACGTTGTTTTTTTAATTTCCAGGCTCAAACTGATGCACTACACTCTTGTTGCTGCACTTTGGCTACTGGTGATACAAATGTTATGGTGGACATTGTCTTGGGTATTGTCGATGTGACATACATCGGCAGGTTCTCACGACGTTCCTCCCAAATCCCCGTGTAGCTTTGTACTTCATCCCTTTTCCTTGTTTTTACGTAAAATTACTGAAAGTACATGTAAAAGTGAAAGTGCATGTGAGTGTTAGATTAGATACTGTATAAATCAGTTTAATAAAAAAACGGTAATTTTATGTTTTCATTTTCAGAATAGATGTATTATTAATAAAATATAATAAATCACGAATATGAAATGCATTTCTTTTAATCGGTCATGCAAGAAACGTGGGATGTAATTTTTGAAACCCTAGTTAGTGAGTATAGTGAATACACTTCGCATACGGATTATACTTGCGGGTTCGAAGAAGGTTCAGGTTAAACGATTGTATGAAGAACGCCCAGTAGTGTATTTTTAACAAGGTAATCAGTGACCCCAAGATCATGTCGTCGCGTTCGTTGAACGCGAGACGGTGGGGGAGAGAAAAGTGCAAGTGGCATGGCCACAACTAATACGCATATTGGGATTAGAAAGTTATATTACCCGCCATGGCTGGCGGTCAGAGCCTGGAGACAGCGTGGCCGCGTGCGCCAGTGCAGGCAGTGACGAGCAGAGCGAGAGGGGGGAGGTAGGGTCCAGCTCTCACGATACTACAAAAACTAGACCTGAAGGTGCTCTAATACACTTGATGGATTTTATCCACGATATCAAAGAACCAGATATATCATTAGAATGACGGCTTCAGAGGAGCATAATGTTACGTTTAATTCGATGAATTTATGTTGAATTCTCGAGGCCCAAGGCGAATATTCTGAACTAGATACCTAGTTGGTCGAACTCAGCCACTATACTGAGGGCAATTATAGTGACAGGTTTCTCTGAGAGTAGTTGTTCATGCTTTTAATATTCCTTTCGACATTTCTTCTCGTATGCCCTCACTCCCATACATGCACTCACTACCATACATGTTGGAAGCTTAGAGCTTGTTGTGACTGAGTGGTGATCCGATAACGGAGATACCTGGAGAGGGAAAGTAAGCAAGACGTCGTCGCCTAGATCTGCACCGACAATCTTGAACCAGCGGGGAAGAAACACCGCAACTTTTCGGGATGTAACATACAGGGAGAGGTGGCTCAGGGAGCCACTGATGTCACTGCACCGCATCTCACCGGGATGGCCTAGATTCGAGTTCCGATGGGGGCAGGATTTTCGGCACTAATTTGTCAGTCGAATTCGAATTCGCTGTCGGGGGAGAACTCTGACTACTCTGATCAGTATTTCCTCCGATCAACACCAAACGAACCCTAACAAACGGACCACTCGCAATCTTTCTTTCCTCTTTCTTGTATCCTTGCCCCTTACTTACACATACGTACACTAATATGCACTACACTACGACACATGCCGTAGGACCTGTAGGGAGCTTAGAACTTGTCCCAGTTGGGGCAGTGCCACGACGGTGGGAGATACCTAGTTGGAGAAAACTCGCTAGCCAACGGCGCCGGATCTCTCCACTCAGCGGGGTATCACCGCCACCTCCCGAGGGAAATATGCACTAAACTTACAGGAGTAATGAAGTTACCAATTGACTCGTCCGGAAACACCATAATCATCAGTCGTGATGTGTCATGGACGTCCTGACGTAATTGACGCGCCAACTCTCCCTCGCTGAATTCGAATTCGATTAAACGAACCGCGAAGTCATGATGCACAATTGCGCACTCTAAGACGATATGCATAATTGTGTAGTTCCAAATGCACTCTCGGATTCCATAAGCATTCCAAAATCACATATTCAGACAAAAGTTAACGAAAACATTTGATTTTTTCGAAAGGCAATACTGATCTAATCGAACTAAAGATCAACAAATGAATGAATAAATTGCACATTGTTCTTTTCTTTCTTACATAGTTAATTGTTTCTCTCCCTTAAGACAATATAATAACAATATAAAGAGCAAGTAGTTTCAGGTAGAAAACATTCATCACAGTGTTCTTCCCAATGAGATGAACAAATGTTTCTAATGTCATTTTGCTGCGAAGCGCATCCTCAGCAGTTTATTGACAATTTATCTTCTTCCATGATATCAAAGGATACCATTTAGTGTGGGCCGCTGAAGGTTATTAGTCCTATAACTCCAAAGCCAAAAAAGTCCCTTTCATCCATGTTGGGCGAGAACATGGTGCGCCTAGCGCTCGCGCCCTGCCAGGTGAGTCAAAGCTCTGAGGATAATTCAAGTATTAAAAAAAATTAAAATACAAATGAAAGACAAACTGTACCCCTGGATAAGATGTTTAAAATTTCCCCTAAACAAAATGACATATAAGTATTTACACAATAATTCTAACAAAACAAGTTTTCTGAAAGGTTTCTTACCCTACGTCTCACCACCCAAACCCATTACAAAAACATGTTCTTTTAATTTTATTTTTTGTCTAATTACCACCTTTTTATCTGACTGAAGAATATATTTAAATAAAACAATTTATACTGTCAGAAAAACCTTTTTGATATTTTATCAGGGAATTTTTCAAGAAAATTACATTTGTATAGTTTTAAAAAAATGAATACAGAAAAATTAATTCTGTGTTATTTTTAACAGTACAATTAGCACGATCAGTTGGAAAAGTTTGAAGAAAAAAATGGAGCCGTTTTAGAGAAAAGGTGCGTGAACGTTTCAGTAAATATGGAATTTTCAGCTTACTTTCTCGGAAAACTTAATTTTTCGGGAAACTTGATCTCACAGTATTTAAAGCTCATGTACTCATAAGTTCATTAATGTAAAGACATTTCAATATGGTAAAGTACATATTATCGACGTCAGAGATGAGTCAAAAAAATCATATTTTTGTAATTAAAAAAAAACAAAACAAAGAATAGGGCAATATAGCTTTAATGTCATCGTATAGAGTGTATTTAGAACAATCCCTAACAAAAGTGTGAGGAACAAATTTGGAGCCATTTTTGAAAAAATCTCGTTTTTGTAATTTTAAAATTGCACATATAGCTGGCAATTTTGCGCGATAATTACTAAAAAAATGTACAGTACCTTAATAAGATAACTCACTATGGAGAACAAATTTACGCCATTTATTCTCGCAAGAAATTTAAAGAAAAACTTTGGAGCCGTTTTTGAGAAAATTTTGAAAATGTCCGGATGGCGTCATGTAAAGTACACCTAAATTTTAAAGATTTTTTTTCAAAATCTCACAGATTTAACTTGAGCCAAATCGACATAGGTTTTTCAAATTGAAAAAAACAACAACAACAACAACAACAACAACAACAAAACCTACGTATAGTTTAGTCCCTAGTGGTGTACACAGACACCAGACGGACGGACAGACGGACGTTATAAAAACAGTTTTTCGGTATCACGGGACCCTCAAACGTTTATTTCCGTTGAAATCACAAAATCAATTTTCCGCTGCATTACATAACTTTCCCTTTACTACGTATATTACTCCATATATACGTAAGTATACGGGAAAGTAAAAACAATTTTTACCATTTTCTCGCCTTAAAATCACCTTGTTTTTAAATACAATTTGAAGATGACTGCAACAGTTCTGTACATTTATTTTAGTGTTTATTACACATTAGCTTGATTTGTGGTAGCACCCAGAAATATATTGACTTTGGAGTGTAGTTACAAATAACCATTTTTACTTCCCAGTATACGTAGTATACACGAGTATGTATATACGAGTAATATACGTAGTATAGGGAACGTTATATAATGTTGCGGAAAATCGATTTCGAGGTTTCGAAGGTCATTTTGGATTGGATGGACGTTTTGGGATCCCCTGTTGTAGAAAAAGGATTTCTTTTTTCAAAACATCCGTCTGGTGTCTGAACACTAGCTCCTAAATAATGCACACGATTTTTTCCAAATTGAAGAAACCCGTGTCGATCTGGCTTGAGTCAAATCTTTGAGATTTTGAAAAAAAATCTTTAAAATTTGAGAGCACTTTACATGACGCCTCCAGACATTTTCAAAATTTTGACAAAAACTGCTTCAAATTTTGTTTATATTTCTTGCAAGAATAGAATAACATACATTTATACATGTAGCATAGGTCCGATTTTCACGGTTAACTCTGAACTTTCGAACATTTAAAAAGTGTAAATATTTGTCGGTGTTTTCCTACAATTACAAAATCGAAGATAAAAATTTCGAGTGAGTTAAAGTACTTAAAATGACTTCAAGTTAATTTTTTGAAATCACAAAAATGTTTTGTGAAAAAGAGCTTCATATTTTGAATTAACTATAGGGGCTAAGCCAGTTTTTTAAAATCACCTACAAATTTTTCAAAGAAAATTGCTATTTAGTGCAAGGCTTTACTATTAATAATCTCAAAATACTATTTTGAGACGAGAATTTACTGTTACATAATAATTTTAAAATAATGTTTCCGCTCTACAATTAGAAAATTTAAAAATTAAGAAAAAGTTTAAAAAAATGTACTTCCGGCGGCGATAGATGGCAACAGGCAAGAATATGTGGCAAGTTCGAATAGCTAACCGAGACGAAAGAAATTTGAAACAAAAAATATAACTAATTAGAATAACTAAGTCTGTGCCATGCTGTAGCACCACTAGTTTAAAAGCTTTCCAATCCGTTCCTATAACGCTGTCAATCGCGAATGAATTGTTAGCGCTATCTGTACGACATTTGCAAAGACTATATTAACAATTGAATCTCTTAGTACAAGAAGTATCTCAAAGAGTGCGCGATCAGTCTATTTATGAAGCTGACGGTAAATGTTACTGCCGTTTCGGAGGGCGCCAATTGACAGTGAATGTTGGGGAGTTAAATTTCAAACGCAAACACCACATTCTAATATGAAACGTCCGAGCTTTGCAATTGTGTTGCCATCTGAAATACACAGCCGCTATCATATAGCGTCTTCTTGTTCTCGAGTTTGCCACTAGATCGCAGGAGTACGGAGGCTGAAATCGAAACGCCACACCGATGGGTGGTGGAGCACTGACAATATTATGTGCGTCGGTAGTAGGCTGCGCACCTTCTCGGACATTGGGGTTAGAAAATAAGTAGATGATTGTGACGATTGTGAATATTCTCTTTCAATGCATTTTTAATTTTTCCCAGAAAACGACTTTAAATTGTTTCATTGTGGCAAAAAGTAGACGGGAATTATACAGTGAAATTAAATGAATTTTAATCCTTCACTGAAAACAGTACATTCAAACCTTAAAACAGATTAGATTATTTATTTGTTACAACTTTTAGATTATATCTTGAGGAAAAGGATTATTAACTTCGTGTTATTCCGTTGAAATCCTTGGTTTTTTTAGTTATATTCTTCAAGGTGAAAATATTTTATTTCGGAATTCTTTTCTCTCGAATGGCCTAACCTTAATTACCTAATACCTAATAAGCTTGATGGAGATAATACGCGCGATGAGTAAGCAAAACGTGAAGGAACCATCTTTACAATTCTCATAGGCACAATTATGTTTAAGTAAGACTTAGACATAGGTTAGACAAGAGGCACTATTAGTTTCTCTTTATATTTTTTTTATTATATGATCTTGAAGATCAATGAAAATTCATACTTCTGCCAATCTGCAACATTTTAATTTTCTACACATTTCTCAGAATGCCTGGATTCTTTTAAATATGTATATCCACTACTACATTAAAAAACTGTAAAAGCGATTGATAGCTTTTTACTTTTGAGGAGAGGGAGGACATTTTAAAATAAAGTTGACGCAATTAACTTAATGTCAAGGGTAAAATAGAAGACACAATACAATTCGAAATTAAAACGGTCCTTACGTTCAATTAGGTTTTGACATTGGAAGGCCTTTGCGACGCATCGGTTTCATGCCGTTGCTCTGATAGAGGCTTTTCAAAAGTTGATGGCCTTCACAAGCTACATGCCCGCCTACGAAGCCCTACCCTCCTGCAAACATGTGCTCTTCTTATTGTCTCCGCTCTCATTTCCCCTCCAAGTCCTGAAAGGGTTATAGTGGGGAATGTAAGCACAAAGCGCAGATAGAAATATCACAACCAATGATACCGTCATGCGAAAATGCTTAGGCTAGCGACACCCGAGCGTCGGAACGTACGTCGTTGACGTCCGCCAATTTGACGCCCGTTTGTTGGTCGGCAACACGAAGACGACCATTGACGTTCAACGGATGACAAATGCAACGCAACGGACGCCCTGTGCTGTTGTGCTAGCAAACATAAATTCCGCGGAGTCAGCAATTGTGTGTTAGATAATGAAACTTGCAAAAGAAAACAGAAGGTGTATTCATGCAGTAAAGGTGAGCGTCTTTTGACAAGAACATTTTTCACACTTTTTCAGATTTTATAAAACAACCGTGAGAATTTATTTTAGTAAGATTATTTTCTCAAAACTCGAATTTTATATTTTTTTTTCAAAAATGGGAACTTGTAGCAGGAATCAAATGGCCGAAACCGCAATTGTTGCTGAGGAAACAATTTCTGCTTCGGTCGGCGAGGAATTGAATGGGAATAGTATAAGTAATATTGATATTACTGTTGGAAATTATCTCAACGTTAACTTCAAGATGAAACCAACTGTAACAACAGAGGTCGAGACAATACACGAAGATCGTAATTCGCAGGGTCCAGCACAAAGTGAAGAAGACGCATATCAAATTATTTTAAATTTGTTTCTGGGCACAAACAAATTTGAGGATAAATTTGAAAAGTTAGAAAATAACATCTCTAAACTAAACTCTGTGCTTTTCGCCCCGCATGGAATTACATTCACTCTCTACAAGCAGCATCTAGGGTCTTGGGAGGGGGCGTCCCCCACTTCCTCACCATTTCCTCCTCTCTCTAGTTCTCCAGGCCGGAACCCTATCTGTCGATAAACCGCTGAGGTAGCCGCAGCCCTTCACAGCTAGATCTTACGTTATCGCCTTGGCGCTACTGTGATCCCTAGATCCTTATCGGAATGGTGGTTAATGACAGAATAGGGTAGGGAATGCATGGTGGAGCGATCCTGGGGAATGCATATTAGTCGGTGAAGCGGGAGTACCCCGAGAAAACCTGCCGCGTACCGGCTTTGTCCACAACAAATTCCACTAGGAAACGCCTTGGAGCAAACCCGGGCACCAGCGGTGGGCGTGCAGTCTGACTACGCCAGGGGCAGCTTTGAAATAACAACTCGGATGCTAAATAAATTAGAAAATAATAATTTCACAATAAATTTGAACAAATTAATAATAATAATGCCATTCTAAAGGCAACAATTCAACAATAGTAATTAAAAATTTTCTTCAATGTACCTTTTCTGAGAAAGGGAGAAAATGTTAAAATCCGGAGAGACACGGAAGCTATGTTCGCTAACATAAACGCAAAAATTGACAGATTTATTGAACAATCTAAGATATCAAAATGCATTCAGGAAAATAAAATAGCAAATATTAACTTCAATATTAATGTCGTTAAAGAAACTATTGCAGCATTGGAAGAAACGGGTAAACAACAATGTGAGAGTATAAGATCCGCAGAAGCAAATATCGAACAAGTACGCCAGACAACACAACCCAAGCTTGCTCGATACAATTACAATTTTGACTATACAGTTGTATTCTAATATAAATATATAGAAGTTGAACGGTATGTTGTCGAAGGGAGGCTTGCAAATGTACAAGTTTTAAAAATAAATTGCCTGATAATGCATTAAAAGAATGCTCTAGAACCACACTTCTGAGAGCGTGAACTTTGATACCGTCATCTGGGGATGGGTAGTGGCCGTAGCCCGAAAGAACATCTGACTAGAAGAGATCCGTCTCACATTTTTGTATTTTTTATTTTATAATTTCAAGGCTTAATAAGCTATTTTTTGCGTACTACGTCTGAGGATGAAAAACCGAAGCAACTGTATGTTTAAAGTAGGTATATTTTTATTTAACTTCGTGGTAGAAAGTTTTAACATTTAATTTTTTAAACAGTGTAGCGTCGGCGACACCATCTTCAGCTAATTATAAAATACGTTGAACATTTTATTCTAGTTCTGTAAGGTAAGATACTAACATTGAAACATTTTTTGATCTATTCATTATAACAAAGTGAGAACAAAACTCCTCTCCTCAACTAAAAACAGCAAGGAAACTAATTTTTGATCTAATGTTATTCCCACTTCATCAAGCTGCATGGTATTCTACACCAGAAATTAAGTAATATAAAACAACAAATATCCCACAATTAATAAGGGAAAAGGTGATAGCAAAACGCAAATTGAAAAAAACAATGGCAAATCACTAAAGATCCAGCTACTAAAAGAAGACTAAATTCTGCTTCACAAAACCTGAAAAGATTACTTCGAGAACATCGAAACAACGCTCTACAAGATAAACTTATAAGACTGACTCCAAATTCAAATTCAGAGTACTCTTCACCTAATGCTTGAAGAGACCAATACAACCTATTCCTCCGATCAAAAAAACATGGGCTAAATGCGATGGTACATGGGCTAAAAGCGACGAAGAGAAAACTGAATGCTTTGCCTCCCATTTCTTTAACATCTTTCAACCATTTCCTCCACAAATATCTGCAGCAGAAGAGGAAGAAATTTACAACTTCACCGTTGCAACTAGCTCCCCAAATCAAGCTCGTAAGTGCTCGAGAAGTTGAAACATTAATCAAAAATTTTACCAACAAGAAAAGCCCCCGGATATGATATGATTTCTATAACAATTCTACGTCATCTACCAAGAAAATTGATAGCCTTAATTACTTCCATTTTCAATGCCATTCTAAGATTAGGACACTTCCCCGAGCAATGGAAAATAGCCCAAGTAATAGTCATCCCTAAATCGGGCAAACTAATGCATGAAGTAGTATCATACAGTCCTATTAGTCTTCTACCAACACTATCCAAAGTTTTTGAGAAACTACTTCTGCCACGTTTGAATCCACTTCTACAAGAAAAAGGAATAATACCCCATCATCAAATTTGGTTTCAGACAAAGCCATTCGACTATAGAACAAATCCATCGAATAGTAAACGAAATTAGTGAATCTTTAGAAAATAAAGAATATTGCTCTGCTGTGTTTCTCCACATAAGCCAGGCTTTCGACAAGGTCTGGCACCCAGGTTTATTGTATAAAATTAAGCAAAACTTACCATATCCTTACTATCTCTTATTAAAATCGTACCTCACGGAGATATATTTTCAAATAAAATTTAACGGTGCGACTTCAGAACTTAAATTCGGGGGTGCCTCAAGGAAGTGTGCTTGCACCTTTCCTTTACTCATTATACACTGCCGACATTCCAACATCTGAAAACACATTGACAGCAACCTACGCGAATGACACAGCCACCTTAGCTCGACACAAAGACCCAGCAGAAGCATCACGTCTCGTAGAAAAACATCTGCAATCTACTCAGAAGTGGCAGAAACGATGGCGCCTCAAGACATATGACAAGAAGTCTGCCCAAGTTACCTTCACTCTGAAGCACGAAACATTCTCTCCTATAAAAATCGGATCACAAACTATTCCTCAAAACGACTCAGCAAAATATCTTGGAATTACACTGGACAGAAGACGTACATGGAAAACACATATATAGAATAAAAGAAAAGAATTAGATCTCAAAATTATCAGATTAAACTGACTATTAGGAAAAAACTCATCCTTAAGCATCGCAAACAAAATTCTTCTGT